AACAATGTTCGAAATAGGGGTGATAGCTCTGGATCTCACACGTTTCCCGGTGTATGTTTTTTTCCAATGGAGTAAGTGGTTTTCAAGAAAATACTAATTTTCTGAAACCATGCAGTACGTCGTAATAATCAATGACGCCATCGCGTCTAATTGAGGGCGAGAAAATGTGATTTTCATTTGGATTTTTTTAAATATCTCGTATGCATAGACGAAAACCGTAAATACAAAAACTGTAGCTCACGATGTGGCTTATTACATTGTTCAAACCAATTTTTCACGAATTTCGATTTACAGCTAATAAATTAATAGCAAAAAAAAAAACGATTTTCATCGTCTTTTAGATTTTTGTATATAATTGAAAAACCCTGTACACAATCGAAAAAATGTCTGAAATAAATATCATAGCCCCGGATCTCCCGCATTTTTGGTTCTAAAATTTTGCCGATCTATTGAACAGTTTTTGAGAAAATCATGTTTTTCTGGAAGCCAAAATATTGAAAAAAATATTTTCCATTTTTTTTTTAATATTTGCTGATACTTGATTACGCTCAAATTGAACTATTTAGATGTGGGCACGAACTTTTACTTCCTTGCCAAATTTAAAATCGATAGCTACATATTTGGGTCACTTATGACGTTTTTGAATTTAGTACCCGAACACCATGTGTCAAATTTCAAGGGAATGGCTTCAAATTTCGGACACTCATCGTGTTTCATAACGAAGTCCAAAAAACAGATGAAAATCGAAAAAAAAAAAAAAAGATAAACACCTTGGTTTGATCAGACCCATTTTTTACTCGTGCACCACTTAAAAGGAGGCAAATTTGAAGATCGCGCTGTAAACCGTTCAAAAGATATAGCCAATTATTGCCGGGTCTACAGAGAAACGGAGAACGGAGAACAGAAGAAAAATTTTTTTTTGGACGTTGATCATTTCTGTACCAATGGCGGTCCCCTATGACCTACCGTTGCCGAGAAGTTGCCAAGCGCGTATACTTTAAAAAAATTCGATTTTATCGATTTTTCGAAAGTAACAAGCAAAAAATGCAATAAATATATAAATAATAATAATAGGTGGTTCAGTCACCCCTTAATCTCACCAGCGAATAATATCCAGTGGAAGTGAATTGTAAGTTATACGTTTTGTTGTTAAAAATGTTCCCGTATAGCACACACCCCCGATAATTCATTTAAAAACTCGCAGGGAATACGCTTTCAATTCGCAACGCCCCCTAAGTACACGGCTTCTTAATCAACTATTTCCATCGCGGAGAGTTTCCGCGGCGAATGGAAGCAAAGGGTTCGCTCCGACATGAAAACATAACGCCCTTTCTCCCTAGTCGAACTGCCACCGACCATAAAATGACGACACAATGGCAAACCATAAGGCAACCATGATGTTGCTCGCCGCGTTTTTCACACCTCCGTTAATGCCTTCTTAATAGGCGTGAAGCAAAGAACTTTGGGCGGTACGGTTTCGCACCTTTGCCTTTATTCATCGCGCCTCACCTCCATTCAGTCTTGTTCGGCTCCGGTTCTTTTTTTTTTCTTTCCTCGTTAGTCCGATTGTTCCGCGTGTGCGTGAGGCAAAAGTAAAAAAAAAACGCCCAAATGAAAAGAGAATATTTATAATAATAATAATAATAATAATAATAAACTGTCTTCATTGATAATCAAAATATTACAATATAAGTAACAATACAAGAGTGGCGACATTCGAAATTGGCGCTCTTCCATGTAAAGACAAGAACAACAGGACCAACACCATAATTGTCAACAAAATTCACACCTGTATATACATCGTAAACAGAAGAAATAGACGCACATCATAAAACTCATACGCTCTTGCTAGTTACGGGCGGGTCTACTAAACAATATTAATGCTTTTTTGAAGGACTTTATTTTGAGGAGCGACGTTATAGCGTAAGGAATTTCATTAAATAATTTAACTGCGTTATAGTTAAAAGATCTCTGAAAAGTTACCGAAGTGTGTCTAGAAACGCAATATCTTAAACAATGACGAGTGTTTCGATTATTAATATCATTTCCTCTGCCAAGTTTATCAAACAAGTACGACGGGGTCTTATTGGAGTTCAGTAAAAAAACAAACGTGGCTAACTGAACTTTATATCGGTGCTTCAGCTTGAGCCAACCCGAATTAGAGAGGCATTATGAAATATGGTCATACTTTCTGACATTGCAAATAAAACAAATACAAGTATTCTGAAGTCGTTGGAGTCTCTCCTTATCTCGATTAAGTAAAGCTGGCTAATAGACAATACTGCAATAAGCGATATGGGATAAAACTAACATATCACAGAGTTTAAGTTTGACTTTTTTAATGAGAAAATGTTTATGAATCTACAGTGTCCTCAACCTATAAAAGGATTTTTGTAACACCAAGCCAATATGCTTCGAAAACCGCAAGTCACCGTCAAACCATAATCCTAAATTTTTACACCAGTCTGAAGGAGAGATAATCTCATCAATTAGTGTAATCTTAAAAGAGGCGTTTTTGACAATATCTTCCCTATTATTTCCAAATAATAATATCTGCGTTTTGTTAGCATTCAATAAGAGGTTGTGAGCTGCAGATACCTCCGCAATTATTTTTAGATCTAAATTTATTTTGGTAGCGGCGTCTAAATCTTGACTAGCGGCAAAGGATAAATATAACTGAGTATCATCGGCGTATCGATGAGATTTACAAAATTTAAGAAAATTAGAGAAGGCAGTTGTATAAACTGAGAACAAAATGGGTCCCAGAATACTCGCCTGGGGAACACTCTTCTCCAAAGCAATGGCATCTAAATGAGTATTTCCTATAACTACCCTTTGGTATCTCTGACCAAGAAAATTTTTAAAAAAAGAAAGAGCAGTACCTTTTATCCCGAAGAATTCCAGTAGTAGTAGTAAGTAGTAAGAGTAAGTAGGAAGACTGCATTTTGCTAAATCATCAAGAATCAAGAAATAAACTTTATGAGGAAGATTGTTTACTTCATGCTAGAAACACTAGCATAGTAAGTAAGTAAGATGTATTTTGCAAATTTACCAGGAAGATCGTTTGCTACATGCTAGGAAAACTAACAGAGTAAGTAAGAAGATGCATTTTGCTAAATCATTAAGACTCAAGAAATAAATTTTACGAAAAAGATCGTTTACATCATTCTAGAAACATTAGCAGAGTAAGTAACTAAGAAGATGTATTTTTCCAAATCATCAAGAATCAAGAAATAAATTGTAGGAAGAAGATCGTTTACATCATTCTAGAAAAATAGCAGAGTAACTAGGAAGATGCATTTTCCCAAATCATCAAGAATCAAGAAATGAACTTTATGAGAAACTAGCAGAGTAAGTGAGTAAAAAGAAGTATTGTGCTAAATCGTTAAAAATCAAGAAATGAACTTTACCAGGAAGAGCGTTTGCTACATGCTATGAAAACAAGCAGAGTAAGTAAGTAAGAAGATGTATTTTGCTAAATCATTAAGACTCAAGAAACAAATTTTACGAAAAAGATCGTTTACATCATTCTAGAGACACTAGCAGAGTAAGTAACTAAGAATGTGCATTTTACCAAATCATCAAAAATCAAGAAATAAACTTTACCAAGAAGCTCGGTTGCTACATGCTAGAAAAACTAGTAGAGTAATTAAGAAGATGTATTTTGCTAAATCGTTAAGAATGAAGAAATAACCTTTGCGAGGAAGATCGTCTATTTCATGCGAGAAAAACTAGCAGAGTACGTAAGTAGTATTTTTCCAAATCATCAAGAATCAAGAAATAATCTTTGGGAGGAATATAATTTACTTCATGCTAGAGACACTAGTAGAGTAAGTAACTAAGAAGATGTATTTTGTAAAAATCATTAAAAATCAAGAAATAAACCTTACGAAGAAGATCGTTTATATCATGCTAGTAAAAATGGCAGAATAAGTAGGGAAGATCTGTCTTGCTAAATCATTACGAAGAAGATCGTTTGCATCATTCTAGAAACAAATAGTTGAAGGAAAAGCAATTTTAAAATTAAAAATCTATAAAAGCTGTAATTGTTACTTAAAGCTTTTCACTTAGAAACTTCACCTCCTAAAGACATTAAAAAATTGAAAATTCTGGAAGATATTTTAGACACGAGAGCCTTGGAAACGTTAGAATTATCATCTTTATTTGATACCCATGCTCAGTTAAGGAATCCCGTATAAGTAAAGCGAAGGCTCCGTGGTTTACCCAAAATGTTATAAAATTTATGAAGCAGGGAGATATAACTTTACAAGGATTTAAAAACAAATATATAACAGCGATTGGCTTCTATATAAAAACCATAAGAATTTTACATTCTCTTCAAATAGAAGAGAACAGAAGGTATATCTAGATCCAGTGTGCGATCTAAATAATTCCAAACAAAATTAGGCTGTTCTAAACTACTCTACTAATTCAAATAAAGACACTACACTTCTAAGTAGTTCGAAGGATTCTGAAAACATTAATGCATTTGGTGCGCAGTTGCTTCAAAACAAATCCAACTGTAATACATCTTTGTTTTCAAATATTCATGAAATTAATGCCACGAATGAAGTGCCACTGAGGTTGATGATATACTTTCACTTGCGCTTAAATGTTGTAGTTTTTTCATTGATAAATATGTCAAAAATATTAGAATATTTATGAAGCAGCAAAAAACAATAATTGCTTCCCATATAACTTGGGCTACTCTAACACAAAAGTGTGAGCGATATATGAGAGCAATTGGATGTCGACACTTGAATCGTTGCTTCTTTTTCGTCTGCTTAACTACTTGAATATCTTTCTTGTCTACCCATTCACCCGTAGTCTTGTTAGACGTAACTCAAATTTGATATTAGCAAATGCTTTTTGGTAATCAATGAAACCGATGATGTTGATGCACCAAGAGCTTTAGGTTATTCCCCAAATAAAACTAAATTTTAACAAAAAGCTCACACAAACAAGAGCCCTGAGTAGGAACACTCTTTCATGATCTGAAGATGGACAAGCCAAGGCAAAATGACTCGAAGCATCGGGAAGATCTCAGCATAATGCATCGCATAATCTATTTGGACTTGGGTTTATTAGGAACCCTTGCTACAGGTATTAAAAGAACAAGATGTAATCAGATATTTGCTGTTTCAATTTTCTTACTACTACCCTTTAATGGTTTGAGTTATTCGTAGAAAATAGTTCCAATGCTCCTAGTTTTAGATGTCGCGTCTGTCATAATCGCAATACCGTTGAAAAATCTGGTATTTATTTGTCCCACGTAATCTAATTCATCCAGTGGACAAAAGCGCTTGTGTATTACATCCCCTATCGGCAGCCCTAATCGAGCGTTAAGTCCGATCCCGAGGGACGCTAGGGGCGGACTTGTTTATGGGTAGTTACCCTTGTATCGAGATATAACCACTCTTACAGATGTTTGGGGATAATCAATTTTCTTTTATTATCTATGGTGCAAATGGACTTGCCTATGAAGCTTGTCGGTATCCGGAACGATTCAATTTTTCAGAGAGCCGGATTCCCGTGGGGAGAAATTCATTAAATAATTGCAACATTCGCATGAGCATCTTCGTTTAATTTTTTTATAATTTTAAGTGCCTTATATGCGGTCTAATACTTCCAAACTTGGTTTATAAGTACAGGGTCCATTTTGAAAAGAAAACTCTACATGTGGTAAAGTTTTCAAATGTAAAATCTATTTTATATACGTACGGAATTTCAATTGTCTAGTTTGGTAGACGTTGGCACATTCTTATAATCTCCGATCATTCCCAAACAAATTTTATTTCTTGATTTTTTTTGCAATCGGATAAAAGCTTCGCCTCTAAATCTAGCGGCGCAGAATCTGGGGATCGCGGTGGCCAGCAGGTTTTGGTTTAACCTCTTCATTACACCAGATAGGAGCACCATCAAGCTGCAAATGCAAATTGTACCCGTCGTCTAGATATAATTACAAGAAAAGTTAGAAAGTTAGACGATCACAACGTTATCCTCTATTTTCTTAAAATATCCCATCGTGTCAAAACCTTACACGCCTTACTTCGAGAAAGAATTTATCAGCCCGTAAGGAAATAGACCAAATCAATAAGACTATTCGGTATATACATTTTAAAATTGTTCCATACCATTTCAAACATGATTCATGAAAAAGCTTTAAATCTTCGTTCATCTTCTACCTGAAATCGCATTCAGAATTTTGAAACTAACCAAAACTAAAGTCAATACTAGTGAAACCATCAAACTCTTCTCAACTACCAAATGCTCTGATAAATGTATCATCACACCAACTTTCGGAAACTTCAAAGTCATGTAAACTTTGATGAATATCAAAAATTGTACAATCACGATTTCTAATGATACTTTTCTCGTACAACTTGTAAATAGACGAAACCTGAAACTCTACCGATACAGTTTACGATACTGCTTAAATCAAATTATCCCATGTTTTATTGTTTTTCATTTACTGCTTACAATTTGCCCACGAAAATGACAATTTTTGGGATATTTTTGAGTTTTGGCCCATAATCGACACAATAGAGTAAATGGTTTGCGAGAAAATAATTCTTTTAACTATGCAGTTGGACGCAATAGAAAACGATGGTGATTTTCATATGGATTTTTCCAAATATCTCGAGCAAAGTATGTGATAGTGCGGAAATTGTAGTTCTTGATGCGGCCCGTAATACTGTTCGAACCGATTGGCCATATTTTTTACGAATTTAAATTTACGGTACATTATTTACATATATAACAATTTTCAAGGTCTTATAGATTTTTGTCCATAACTAAAATACCCCGGAAACAGAAGCCAAAATAACCAAAAAAAATTCAAAATTTTTTCAGAAATACTTGTCTACGGCTTCTGCTAAATTTCAAGTCGATATCTACAAATTTAGAACACTTGACACATTTCTTATATACCACGGAATATGGTTAGCACTCTGTAGGTGACACTATTAAATAGAAAAATTTTAGCTGAAAAAGTTTATTCTGTGTCTGTTACATCAAGAATTTTCTCGATTCCATAAATGGTTTTCGAGAAATGATCTTTTATTTGGACCCTTGCAACGCGGTTTTTAATTTTTCGAAAATATTTCTCTACTCCAATTACTACAATTTTGATTTACGGCTAAAAATTTATTATGGGATAGAAAAATTTTCAGGATTTTTAACTTTTTCCCGATATTTGAAATTGAATAAAAAATCTCTCGAGTATACGGGCTCAACAATTTTTTTCTATGAGCCAAAATAGCTCAAAAAAAAATACTTGGTGAAATTTGACTGTGCTTAATTTTTGGTGTTTAAGGCGTGGGCATGGACTTCTACTTCTATGATAAATTTGAAGTCGATAGCTGTTATGTGTGAATTATCATTATAAAGGGCGCCCAATTTTCAGTTTCTTTGCAAATTACCGACGCACCCTGTACATTTTTAAAAAATCATCAAGAATAAAAGCCTTTGGTCTGGATCTCGCGCTTCTTTTGGTTCAAGAACTTTTTCGATCATATTCACCTGTTTTCAGAAATGATTTTTTTTTCTCGAACCGCTAAAAATGCGGTTTTTAATTTTTTTTTTAAATACTTCCCGACCCGACCCCCAACCCCACCAATTTCGACAAGCTTCGTTAAGGTGTCAAGATCTATAGCTTCAAGCTTCAAATTTCGTGTTTCTCGTGTTTCATGGTAATGTCCAAAAAAGAGTAGAACATCGAGAAAAAAAGATGACTGTTTAAAATTAGCCCAAGTTTGAACGCTGTAAAACGGTTCGATAGTTATGGCGATTTAATGTCCTCCAAAGACCAACCGAGTGACTGCCGGTATAAGCAGTCCCCCTTTTTGATGGCCAACAGCTTCGGGTGGAGGAGCTATCAAGAGGTAGGGCCATCTCTAGTCCATGGATTGAGAAATCGGTCCAAAAGGCGGATGAACCAACACGGTCAACGGCATGAGAATGCAGAAGGCAAGGGGAACCCACTGCATTAAAGATCATATCGATTCTCCCTAGTACAAATCATCATTGCTGAAAACAACAAACAAACGGCCCTCAGTCCCCGGCACAATCTTAAATGATCAGAGGGTGCGAAGAATTCCCGGGTCAGCTATGAATGTACGCAGTTTATATGAACCTGGAAAAATACATAATGTTATCCAGGAGATGCAAAGGTTAGATCTAAGCATCCTAGGAATCAGTGACACTAGATGGCCGAATTCTGGACAACAATCAATAGCCAACGGCACCATTTATTACTCAGGAAGTGATGACACCCACCATAGATGTGGAGTTGCGATCGTGGTATCCAGAGAAATCAATAAATCAGTAATAAACTTTACCCCTATATCAGACCGAGCTATGTTACTCCAACTTCAAACGTATCATTGTAAATTAAACATAATTCAAACATACGCCCCGACAGCAGATAAATCTGACGAAGACATTGAGGAATTCTACAACGAGATTAATAACATCATACATTCTCTAAAATCAAGGGACATAACACTAGTATTAGGAGACTTCAATGCCAAGATTGGCAGAGGTAGATTTGACAAACATGTGGGAGAATATGGACTTGGTAGGAGAAACGAAAGAGGCGATAGACTGCTGCAATTTTTCCAAGAAAATGATTATATTATATCGAATACGTTCTTCAAACTTCCAAACCGCCGTTTGTACACACACCTGGAAATCTCTGCAAGACAACAAACAAAATATAGTCAGGGACCAAATTGACTACATCTTGATAGACCACAGATATAGGAATGTAATCAAATCAGTTAAAACCTACCCAGGGGCAGATGTCTCATCGGACCATAATCCACTAATAGCCTGGTTTTTAATAACACTTAAAAAACAACGAGTAATACCAACAACAAATTGTATAGACGTATCGGGTCTAAAAATCCAAGAAACAAGACAAAGGCTACAAAATAAGATCAATGACAACCTCAGAACTCTCAAAAACAATCAAATAACAGCGGAAGAAGACACGGACAAACAATGGAAAGATTTAAAAAATGCATTAATTGAGCCGAGCAAGACCATTCTGACAAAACAGAAAATAGGGAAAAAACAGGAATGGATGACTCCAGAAATTTTGAATTTGATGAACGAACGACGTGGTGTAAAAGACAACAACGAAGCATATAAGAATATTCAGAAAGAAATCCGATCACAGATATGAAAAGCAAAAGAGGTATTCTACAAAAGAAAATGCGACGAAATAGAAGCCGTTCAAGAAAAGCACGACAGCTTCAATGTCCACAAGAAAGTAAAAGAACTGGCAGGGTTACGAAAAAAAGACAACCGTCAATACTCACTGACCAGAATGGCAAAATAATTATGGAAATGGAAGAAAAACTAAGAACATGGAAGAATTACATAACAGAATTATTCGATGATGAGAAAGATATAAACAGAATAGTAGCAGAACAAGAAAACAGTGGACCGGAAATAACTAAAGAAGAGGTCATCCAGGCTATAAAAATCACAAAAGATGGAAAAGCTGCAGGGCCTGATGAGTTACCCTCTGAAATTCTCAAATTGATAGAAGAGGAAAACATACACAGTCTAACAGATCTGTTCAAAACCATATACAAAACAGGTATTATACCCAGGGAATGGTTGCTATTAGCGTTCGTCACTATCCCAAAAAAACATAATGCAAGGCAATGCATAGAAATATTTCTGAAAGTGATACATCACAGGATATACAAAACATTAGAACAAGATATCAGCGAGACTCAATTCGCTTTCGGAGGTGGCTTACGCACAAGAGAAGCAATATTTGCCTTGAACGTTCTCGCCCAACGATGTATGGATATGAATCAGGATCTTTATATATGTTTCATTGATTACAACAAAGCCTTCTATAGGGTCCGACACGAACAACTTATCCAGCTTCTGAAAGAGAAGAACTTAGACATCAGAGATATAAAAATTATTACGAATCTTTATTTTAATCAAAAAGCAGTGGCAAAAATAGAAGGGAATAACACCGAAGAAATAGAAATCCGTCGAGGTGTTAGGCAGGGGTGCGTGCTATCACCGATGTTATTTAACTTTTACTCAGAGGAAATAATGAAACGAGCATTGGACGATGAAACGAAAGGACTAAAAATTAACGGAGTGCCTATCAACAATATAAGATATGCGGCTCATACGATCCTGATAGCTACCAACCTAAACGAATTACAGATTGCAGTAGACAAAGTAAATACATCGAGTGAAGAGTTCGGACTGTCACTAAACGTAAAAAAGACAAAATTTATGATAATATCAAAAACAGCACCAAACAATTCACAAATTCATATAAATAACCACTCCATAGAAAAAGTTGACAGTTATAAATACTTAGGTACAATTGTAAATAAAAATAACGACTGCTCTGAAGAAATCAAAACTAGAATAGGACAGGCGAGAACAACATTTGTGAAAATGAAAAGAGTGCTCTGTGGCAGCGATCTCAGCTTGGATTTAAAAATCAGAATGATGCGATGCTATGTTTTGTCGGTACTGTACTATGGTGTAGAGGCTTGGACTCTGAAGAAACTGGACATAAGGAAACTGGAGGCGTTCGAAATGTGGTTGTACCGTAGAATACTTAAGGTAAAATGGACCGATAAAGTGACCAACATGGAAATCCTGAAAAGAATAAAAAAGGAAAAAGAAATTATCATTACGGTAAAAAAGCGTAAACTCCAGTACCTTGGACACGTCATGAGAGGAGAAAAGTACCAACTACTCCAACTGATATTACAAGGAAAAATTCAAGGAAAGAGAAGTGTAGGAAGAAGGCGTCACTCATGGATGAGAAACTTACGTGACTGGTTCGGGTGCACCACAAACCAACTATTTCGGTCGGCTGTGTCATGAATACGAATAGCACTGATGATTGCCAACCTTCGCAACGAAGACAGCACTTAAAGAAGAAGAAGAATGTCCCATCGACAGAGAAACGGAGCAGAAAATTAAGAAAATGTTTTTTTCGACTCGGATCATTTCTGCGAAAAAAAAAGGAAAAGAAAAATTGTGTACAGTTCTTAAGGGAGACTCCCTGTATAAACAGGCACAGAGTAGTTTCAATTAAGCTCTGAAGAAACAAACAGGATTTTCTTTCTTTTTAATTATAAAATCTCCTTCCTTCATATTGTTGCCATTAATTAAAATATTCCTTTTGCCACTTCAATGGAAAGCGAAAAGTTTAGAAACCCACGCGTTGGGAAGCTTATTTAATCCGGAGAAAACCAATTTAAAATTTCTATTGCCGGTTGTATTCGAACCAGTGTAGCGAGGGGCTTGGGGGGTCAGGTTTAAAATTACCCACATGTCGTACTTTCGCGCCGACGAACGAGACGGAATTACAACTCGTGTGCCCCGTCGAATTGCCCAATAATCTGTCGCTTTAAAAATTCAATTAGGCCAAGTGACGGTCCCTGGAGTCCGGTTGGATACGTGGGACCCACTTCTCTTCGCCCACCCGGGGGGATTTGCAATATATAGAAGATCTACCCCTAAATTTATCAGCGCTGATTATATGGCAGCAAGACGGGCACCTCACAATGTTGTGCAAGTTAAAAATTTTCTTAACAATATCCCAGGAGGTGGATAGGGAACGGCGGAACTATGGATTGGTCAGTCAACAGCCCCGACTTAACTTAAATGGATTTTTTCTTTTGGGGTCACATAAAAAATCACGTGCACAGAACTTCTTGTAATAATGTCGTGGGGAACTTCGGCAAAGGATTTCAGAGTCAATCAATCAGTTAAGAGACAATCCAGAAACATTACTACGTGATACAATTAGAGTGTATGAGAAGTGTGTTTAGGAAGTGGTGGTCACGTACAGTCGTATTTAGAATAGTTAAAGAATTTTTTACTTTAGTGTGTTTTGTCATTTTTAGTCTTTTTGTTCTACTTTGATTTGGAAATAGTTATTGTTGTTGCGTTGCAGTCAGTTAAGGCACTCTTTGATATTATATAAAAATTTCTTATTTTTGACGATTTGTCAAAAACGAGTCTACTAAAATATAAAGTGTTCTGCATCATTGTAATCGGAAAAAGATATTTTTTTAAACACATATATAATATACAAGGTGTTCCAATTCAAAAAATATGATATAAGCTTATATGTCAGAAAATTGAAAGTGTTTTGTTTTATACGTCACTTGGAAAGAAACTTGGCTGCTAACACAACATTTCGTTATTTGTTTGACTTGATATCTGTAAAAACAAAAATGTTATGGCCAATTAAAATGTTATCAAGATATATTGAACCCACGGTACACTGTAGATTAGGTACTAAACTTTAAACAAAAACGGCGTGCATATAATTTTAAAATGAATTTTTAGGAATTAATAATCGCATTAAACATTGCAAACTAAAGTTTAATAAATCAACTGAATCAAATAAAAATAAATCAAAAGAAAATGCTTCGTTATAAGAAAACGAAGGCTGAAACGTTCATAGCTCATTTGAACATTATGACGAAATACCAATTTTTCTCTGAGTGCCTTTGTTTTTAATAATTTTATAAAAAAAATATTTTTTTTAACTATTTCAAACTATTGTAAAGTATACACGGTGGCTTAAGTACAGTCTATTTTAAAATATTGTTTTGAATTAGTATTGAAATTCTTCAGCTTTTTTATTAATAATAATAATAATTTTTCAAATATTTTAATTTTTCCAAACAAAAAAAACTAGTTTTCACAATTGCAATAAATTTCTATATCATATCATATGTATTAGAAGATGACGTAAAGAATATTATGCAACTGAGTTTGAATTAGATGCTACAGGGTGTTCAAAATAAACGAATATATGTGGATCACTTCATGCAGAACAATGTCGATTTTCTTGAATGTTCCATGTTTCTTTTTTAAGTGTGTAATATATTTTTAATATTGTGCGAATGATTTTAACTTTTCTACTATGATTATTTAAAAGATTGTTAGATATTAATGTTATCAACTTCTTGAAGAAGTTGAACTAAATCTGCAAAAAGTTTAAATATGTGGTTCGTGAAAAGAAAAGTGGTCCAATAACTTTCAAGTTTTTTTCTACTCCCTTTTGTAAAATACCTAAGTATACGCCCACTTAGCGTGTAGAAAGCGTCACTTTACTACGTGAGTTTTGTTTATCACCAACGTATTGCCTTATATAAATTTCAGCATTGCTTTTGAAGAAATCCACTTTATTCTTGCTCCAAAAAATCATAAAATATATTTTCTCAGCATCAAATTTCAAGTTGTTTTTTTTAGAAAGATCACTTAGTATTTGCAAGTCGTTATTAATAAAGATAACATCCTCCAAAAAATCTTCGGGATCCAAAGAAAAATAAATTTGGGTATCATCAGCGAATGAGAATATAAGACGTATAAACGAGAAAAAGTAAGGGTCCTAAGGTGGAACCTTGTGTAAGCCCAGATGTAAAAGTACCAGATAAATTACTATTACACTGTGTCATCTAAATAGGAACTTGTAACATATAAGCCCACATGTGTCAGAAAATTGACAGTGTTTTGTTTTATACCTCACTTGCAAAGAAACTTAGCTAACCCCTACATTTTGTTTTTTCGTTTACCTTGATATCTCCAAAAACAAAAAAGTTACAGCAGATTAAAATGTTATCATGATAAATTGAACGCACGGTATATTTTTGAAAAAGTGTGAGAACGCGGTTTCTATTTTTTTTTAAATACTTCGATTTTATCGATTTTTCGAAAGTAACAAATGCGAGATTCCCATTTTCGCAAATCTTAAGGGGGTGGCGCGGGGGCTATTTGTCACGTCGACTCCAATTTCGAAAAATGCCGTCACGCGTAACGGGAAAATTCGTCACGCCTCGCGGCGATTATTTTGGGCAATTGAACCCTTCCGCGGCGACCGAAGGGCCGAAAAGCTAATACCGATTCGGACAGGCGGTAATTGCCCCCGGTCGGTAATAAATTACGCTAATGGCTCCGACGGAATTTCATATAAGTCGTGGAGGAAGGGGGGCCACTCGCATATCTCCTGTTAAGTTAACCCTTTCGGTTGTGAAGGGCGCGAGGAATAGTTTAAACCGAACTACACGCACGGCCTCTGATGAACGTGAAACTTTTCCAACGTCGTCTTCAGTGGAGTTACGCAATCAACACATGTTGCACCAACGAGGTAAAAATTGTCATATACCTTACTAT